CAGTTTCAGAAATAAAAGTTGCAAGATGTGACTGTAATTGAGAGCGCGCAAATCGATTTCGGAAATATATTTCAACTTGCACATGCTGCACCAGCAATCTGCGATTCGCCTTTCAGAAATAAAAAAACCTCTTTCGAAAGACACTTTACATGCAAGATGTGACTGCTAATGCAACTGCGTTCTGTAATTTCTCAATCAGACAGTCTTTTTGAAATGTATTGCATTGCCACCTCTGACAGCCTCTTATGTTAGCGCATTCGGTTAAATTATTTCATCGATGCCTTTGCGAAACCGCCTATCTTACGACACTAAAATTTTACAGGAGAGTGAGGAGAGTTTTTTTTTGAAGGAATTTCCTTGATAGGCGTCGTTTTCTCTAGCTATTATTTTACAAATCTGTTCTTTTAATACCGATTTTTGGATTTTTATGCATATACGATACGATGCCTGGAGTTCAGGGTTACCAAATCTCATTTCTGTCACAACGGCGATTTAGGAAGTTTTGCAAAGATATCGGCGATAGGTATTTACCCGATAGTCTTCTTGCTGGGTTCCTTGTTTGTTGATCTTTGTTCTTTATAGGGTTAAGATATCTAAGCGTAGAAATTTTCTGTTTTTAATTTAAATGGGATTATTTTTCATGAATATAATTTACGGAAAATTCTCATTCTGAAAAATTCGGCCGACTTCCAAATCGTACCAATACAATTGTTCACACCTGTTTGGCTATCAGATTATACATATATATGTATGTTGTATCCTTTATTCAGTTTACAACAATAAAATTGCGAAACAATGCAAATGAAGCATCAACTTTGTTTGTGATTCGCTGACTTCTCTAGCGATACGTTTCGATAACTTTTCGGATGCGTTTTGGAAAAGTATACATTGGCAACATTTTACAGCTTGGCTTTACGGAACATTATACTTTGTACGTATGCAAAGTAATTACCGTTTAGGAAGTCAATCTTCTTCCTTCCTAAAGTGTCAGTATTTATGCAACTGACTTATTTTCGACAAAATAATGTTTGTCCATGTTTCAGGCAATAAGAGCAGGCTTTTCAGGCGCTTTGCTGAAGCAACTCTCCCACCTAGCTCCCTAATATATGGCCATTATTAAATCATCTCCTATTTAGTGTGACTGAAAATTACATCGTTTGAAGAATGTTTTTTCGTAAACTAGTGTGTGGATATGTGGCTGAAATCCGGGTCTACCATTGAGATTATTGCCATTTTCGTGGGACATTTGCTATCGTTTTGCTAAGGTTTTCGTATAACAACCTGTTAACCAGTTTCCAAATTATTAATTCTTATTTTTTTGGGCAAATATACAACTTGCTTTATGATACTCGTAATTAAAAAAAAAATATTGAAAGACAGCGAATTTTTCTGCTCATTCTTCGCAATACTTCTGTTGAGCATAAGTTTAAGAAGTGCTTTAGCTATAAGCGACGTGTACTGTTCTACACCTCTGGGATATGCTAATCCAAATGGTCCCTTATGTGAGGCCATAGAAGCTGTAGCAACATGTTCATGATTCTATCACCAAAAGGGCTTTGATTTTTTCAAGAGAACGAATCGGCTACCGGCCCGATTGCCGTGTTAAAAAATCTTTTATCAGCCACCATTCTGACAGAGACGGTCTTGGTTCCAGCTCTAGCTTAAACATCAGAAGGGTTAAAGCCAAGCAAAGCGTGAGCTTACTCAAAATTCAGAGAGGGAATTATAATTGCTTGTGGATCATACAAATTCAACGCAATTAATACAAAAACAGGTATAACAGTAGATTTTTAACCGACTTCCAACAAAGGAGGAGGTTCTCAGTTTTATGCAAAAAAAATCGCCGACAATTTTTTTTTTAGTTGATCGCATTTTAAATCTTGGTGTGCGATATGTAGCCTTGCGGAATGCTGCTCAAGGGACTGCTCTGGGCCAAAAATATTTTTTTCGATAGCGCCAACGCAAAATTTTGTTTTTATTTTTACTTAATTTTTTTATAAAATAGACACCTTTTGTGTTTTGTCCTAACCTTCATTTTGTAGTAGTTCTTGTATGTTTCCTGTTGTCAACCCACGATTGCGTTAATTTCAGCGGCGTGTTTTTGGAGAAGAATTCTTTTAATGCATTCATAGGACTATAGTCTGAAAAAGCTTCTCAGATATAACATTGTAGGTTACTCCATTTGTGTGACAAAACGAAGACCCAGTCCACAAATTGGATGGAAAGCTCGCCCAAACACGTAGAAAAATGTGTAAATGCCAAATAAGTAATTATAAAAACAAATTCATAGGAGTGTAACGATTTTTAGGTATTTCAAATTTCAATGGGTTTGCCGTGCAATGCACCGTTGCCGATATTCATTGAGCTGTAAACATTAGGCCAGGCCTAGCCAAATATTTTCTTTTAGTTCCTGGAGTGTTTCAAAGGCAATGAAAATATAATTTTAATACGTTTGGGTTGGCACTTTCAGTAGCAAAGACATATTTAAACAGATAAAATGATTGGCTCTGAAATTTGCTACTTTTTAATTTCCTGGCAAAAGTAAAATATGTGCACGTGCCAAAAAAATAACCTCAAATATTTCCCCAACTAATTCGGTGGGATATTTTTGTTCAAGGAGATTAACAACCGGTTTCGCCAGCAATTTAAATGGAAAATCATTATTTATTTTCTGTCAATTTCCATATAAAATTCAAAAAATTAAAATCATTTTTCATTTAAATTGCTTTCGTGAAATCGGCACTAAGAGTCTGCGAATTTGAAACCCACCGCAAGTTGCGTTAGTACTAAAAGATATCTACAATCTTCTGACTACATTGGTTTTCATTAAGAACGATTTTAGGATTCAAAACAAAGGAAATGGTTTAAAATTAATCTAGTTACTTTAACACCTGCTTAAACCGAAGTGTCAGAACATAAACAGTTTGTGGGCGTACTGAAATAGCCAGAAAAAAATCTTGAAGCAAAATAACAGATAAGTAATTTAACAATTTCAATAAAAATTTAGTTTGTATAAGTAAAAAAAAAAAAAACTAAGATTCAAGTAAGTACAATTTTCACAATTTTAGTATTCATAATTGAATTGTCGTAATAAATAGTTGCTGAGTTGGTTGGTTGATTGATTGATTGATATGTCTTAAAAATATCTAAATGTTAATTTTTTTTTCTGTAAATTACAAACGTGATGGGGCATTTAGTGTATTTTATTATTACACAAAATAAAAACAACAAAAACAAGAATTGCATTTACAACAAACTTTATTATTAATTACTTAGTTTTTAAGTGCAAGTGCTCATGTAAAACTTCAAAATGCAAATGCAGCCAATGAAACCCAATTCAAATCGAATTTAAAACTTTCATCATTCTACATATGTATTCATCGACACAAACGCTATGCATACTAAATTCATCATTATCAGCACTCTTTTGCGCTCTATCGTAAATATCTCCGTTAAATGATACCCTCACCCTCCGCCTCCCATCCTTATGCCAGCCATGCCTATTCAAAATTACAAAGTCATGACCACCCATTGCACAAAACCGTAGTCATTCACCCGTACATTCACATGCTCGTCAGCTATTTCCACCTAACTGTCTCACATCCGCTACATTTATTGTATTTAGCTTATTTCGCATTAACTGAAAGTCAATAATAGGCATATGACTCGAAAGGTATGGGCCAATACTCACTCAAATGTTTCTTTTTTCCAAACCATGTCGATGCTGAGTGGTAATGTCTGAATGTAAATACAAATAAATACTTTTTATACGAGGATTAGTAGACTTCCTATGTCTAGGTTAGGTTAAGTTAGATCGGCTGATCGTTGAGATCTGGCCCTTAGTCATTGACTCGTTGGTCACAATGCACTTTTTGTGTTTTAATAATTTGCAAGCGTTTTGGTGTGCAATTTCTTTCAGTCAGGATATTAAAGCAATGCCATGGTAGCTGGACAGTGACATAGGAGATATTCTCTGGGGGCTATTTTAGGTTCTAGAAAATGTCCCAGCTAATAAACTTTAAATTTGAAAGCAGCGATAAACATTTTTTAGTAATCAGTATAGGCTTTGTTGTTTCGCTGTATCGTCATAAAAGCCTTCCCAATCCTTGGTCACCAAGGAACGTCAATGTTTCAGAGGCTTCATCTACCATAGCTGTATGTTTTGTTGCATTTTCTATGCGTTTTCCAATGCATTTCAACATATCTAAGGGAGTTTTTTCTTTCTATAAAAGAAATATGGAAAAAAATCACGAACCCCTGCTGCTCAAAGCAAAACTTTCTGGTGGCGAAGAGTTAAAATATCTACAATTTCAGATTAAAATGGTATTTGAGAATCAGAACTTATCAAAATCATTGAAAATTTGAAGACATTCTGAAAGTACACTTTTGTCGGCAACTGTCTGAGCCACAAGAAAGGAATTTCTTAGTTCTGCGAAGCCTTAGTACATGAGCTTTGAATAATAAGAAGATAAGGGTTCTTAAGTTTTTAACCCTTTGAGCCTCAAAACTACACTTTTTACAATAAATTTCAGCATACATAAATGTTTTTTGAAATATGTTTTAAATTGAAATTAAAAGTTTAGAGAACGTGAAGAAATAAATTATTTCTCAAATATTTAGTACCTTTACACATAGAAGTCATTTCTGCTAGTAGTTTTCTTTAAATAAAAGTGTGAAAGTGCAAAAGAGAGGGTGCGCTCCTGACAGAGAGAGAGAGAGAGAGCTAGAGAAAGAGTGAGTACTTAACGACTAATGTAAGTACGTTTTCACATTTTTTCTTTCTACTTCTATTACCAAAATGCCTTTAATATTCATTGTAATGCGAAGAAAAAACAATTATTATATATATATATACTATATCTATTTTATATATCACCACTACTCTCTATAATACATCAAAATAAATGAATTAATGAATAATATAAATAACGTTAGCTATTTTTTGTGTAAATGAAATGTGCGCGAAGCCGTTGCTGTCGCTCCTACACGAATAACAACAATTGAACTGAAAATTCGCTAATAACTTACTTCTTTTATGTCTCTTATCTGTTGCTATCATTCTTCGATGCACTGTAGATGCCGTTGCCAGGGCAAATGCAATTAATGCAACCAATGCTGCGTCCTGCCATGGCACTGGGACCGCATGGACCGTTGCTGGGTGGCAATATGTTGCGTGCACCAGGCGGTTTGCCCGGAATGCCAGGTGAGTACAATAAAACGCTTATATAGAAGTAGTAGTCAACTTAGTGAAGAACATGAATGCTAAAATACTTTTTCATACGCTGCCAGGTCTGTTGCCAGTACAAGCCATACAAATGCCGGGTATGCCGATGCCCGGTATGGGTGTCATGCTACCAGCCGGTCATCCTGTACTGCAAATGATGCCACGATTTCGGTGATCCGTTGCCCAAGGTGCGCCGCCAATTTGTTTGTCGACGCCGCTCTTAGAAACTCCGATGCCGTTATTATATCCACCTGAAAGATAAAATTGGAAACAAGCAATAATGCATTTAGCATCACCCAAAAAAAAAATTTCTAAACTAATGAAAAATGAAAACAACGGAAACATCGATGTCATAAAAAAGTTTTTAGCGCAGCAATGCCACCCAGCTGATTAAAGCAAAAAAAAACTGGCAAGCGTATTGTCGTCAACGGATGCAACCGTTATCAATGATCACAAAGACAACATTAAATTTGAACGCCCTCAACAAAAACAACTAGAGCGGCAACAAGCAAGTTGAAACATTTTTAAATCCATTGTTTCTATTCGTAAACTCACTTTTAAATTCATAACTACTAAATAGTTTTTTTTTTTTTTTTTAAATTTGAATGAGCCTATTATTTAAGCAGCATTGTTATTGCCGCCTTATACAGAAAACAAGTTTGTACTCTACTTAATATCGCCCCTTCACCTAAAGTTTGTTGCTATAAGCCATTTTAACTAAAAGCCGTGCCGTCACACATACTCATGCACTTAATAAGTGCACTAGAACCCAGCCAATCACACCAAACAGGCAGGCGGAGGGATGGAGCAGAACTACTGCTACTTTGCACACACACACACATACACACATATAAAAAGAAATCGTTAATTTAACCAACTAGAAAAAGTTATGTGCAAATGCGCTTTGGGTTAATGTGGTGGCTAGTAATTATAGTTATATAATGTATTAGTTTTCCGTTTAAATTGTTATCATTTTTTACACATATGAATTCGCTTTAGTTTTCTAATTTCTTACATATAATGCTATTTACATACACATATACTCCTATATATACATACATACATACATGCATAATATGTACTCTGTTTTTGTTTTTAGTTATCAGCGAGTTTTTTCAGTTAAACTTAAGTATGGTTAGACAAAAAAAAATTTAAAGCAAAGCAAACATAGGCACGCAATAAATTGAGAAGAAAACGTAAGTTTTTGCAACCAATACGTAATTTAAGTGACTATTATTGAGTATGAATGCGTATTATAGCCTTGTATATGGATTACATACAGACAGTATACATACATACATACGTACATACATACATACGTACATACATACATATGTTTTCGTTTATATATTTTCAATAGTGCATTATAGATGAATGACATGCAACCGTAGCTAAGAGGTACATAAAACAAACCATTCATGGAGTGTACATAAATTCATAATAAGTACATACATATGTACTTACAAAATACTATATTCATCTGAATAATACTAATCCCAATAACAACTTTTTCCATTACTAGGTCTCTCTGGTCTTTTTAGATTTCTGACATAATTTGGCTTCAGGGTATTTTTCACAAATCACTATTTAAAAATTAATTAGAGATACATACTTTTCGCTGATTTTTGAAGCTTTCATTGTCGTCATCATTTTGTATACATATGCACATATATGTTTGCGGATAAGTTTTAATGCTCTTTTGCTGGTTTATATATAACTTCTTCCCATTCACACATTTCCTTAGACACTATGCACGCAGAAAAAGAACAAGTTGAGAGATGAGGTTGTATGTTTATTCTTGATTTATTTTCAAAAGCGCCTTTTAATTTTACATTGAATTTTGGATATTTTTGAAAATTTTTATAATCTGTGCACATGTGTATACATTTTTACCAGTCTGTTTTCGGACTCATAACATAACCTCCCATCACCTACTAACCTCCCCAACCTTATATGATCTGTAAATTATTTAAATTTCTAAAAAAATTAAGTAGTAGACTACGCTTTTTCCTCACCTTTTCATGCATTAGAATTGTGTTAGAAATTTACATAGGTAATCGCAGTCATAACTGTGGTAAATTGCATTTTCATATAATTTGGCACTGTACTATTTATTTTTTTGTTGTGTCTTTACTTAAAACTTTTCCTCATCACTCTTTATCACTTGAAATTTTTTATGTACGTATATTAAATTCATATTAATTTTTTAACAGGTCCACGACAACGTTGGTCGATTGCGATGATGCGCTCGATCTGTAGTTTATTTTCCGTGTGCAACTGACTAACTTATATAGAAAAAATAAAATAAAAATTCGTAAAAGATAAAAAAGAAAACTCAAACATACATACGTAACCGTAGCACACAGCCACTGAGTAAGCAATCACTCTTTACTATAATTTTCGTTTTTCGTAATATTTGTTTAATAAGTATAAAAAAGTTCAAAGCACGCAATAATTAGTGTACTAAACATATGTATGGTATTTAGTATGTAAATGACAGCCAACTAAATCAAGATTAATGGATAAGGCCGTAACCAAGCAGAAAGCTCTACATACATATATACTACATATGTACATACATACAACTCATATTAATTTGATACATTTCACAGATTTCAATATGCACACATACATAGTTCTCGGTGTGCCTCCGATTGCTGAATGAGCCGCGAAGTCCTACCAGTGAGTGAGGCATTAGGTATGTTGCCAGTGTTGTTGTAATTTGTATTTTCGTTTGCCGTCCTGCCTTGATCGTACGTACATATGTACTGCTCATCCTAAAATGTACCACATCGTGTCAAACAAAAAAAAAGTGTGTGCTTTTTGTTGCCTACCAAACGAATGTTTACTTACCTCTTTTTTAGAATGCATAGTAATTATTAACTGTAATTTAAATTCAAATATTATTAGCAATAAGCCGTTGAATATCGAACATACGGTAATTGTAAGTGATATTTCCTAATCAAAAAAATTTTTCTCGCTACAGCTTTCACATTATTTTAATCCCTCGTACGATCATATTTGTTTTATATTTTTTTTCCTAAAAGTTTTGTGTTCGTATAGTGTTTTTTGTCCGGGCTATAAAAGCGATGTGTCGAAATTTTGTATTGCGTGTTTTTTTGTGGGAATGTAGAAAAGTAAGTTTTCCGTAATTTTTCGACTTCATGATTTTCTAATGAACCTACAACTCCTAATTGATTACATTAAAATCCCAAATCAACAGCAGCAACAAGCACTGATATGTAAGTTAACGAATTTCAATAATTAGCTAAAATTATACATAAATGAACAGTCAACTGGTTACTGCACCGAACCGAGTAGGTATTGAATCGAAACAAAAATATTAATTTCGTATTTTATGGTTATATCGGCTTTATGGTTATGGTGTTCTTTACGTACAAGCACACAAGCATACTCGCATATACACATGCATACATATGTATGTACATAGGTACATGTGGATCTGCACATGTGCCCGATGCACATCGTAAGAGTGTTTGAAAAAGCGTAAAAATTAATTTTGGAATTGTTTAATTATTTTTAATTTCTACATGGAATGTTGCAGTGCATAGAAGTACACGCATATACATAAGTATGTATGTATGCTTGCCGACATTGTGTTGCACGTTTTTAATGGCCAGTCTAAAAGGTGGCAATGTCTATAAGGCTCACCGAAATTTCCGATCTCTCAATAAATTGTATGTGCAATTTTCTGTTTACTACATATCGTCGAGATTGATGTAAAAGGACCTAAATGACAGTTGTTAAATTTTTAGAGAAGAGTCCAGAAAGTTTTTAAAACTAATGTATGAAATACTGAGATTAGTCTACGAAAGATGATTTAGAACCTTTGCAGTGATGGACGATGTATAGAATTTTAGATTTTTTTTAAATTAATTTTTTTTTAAATTATAATATGTGCAATAAGACCATGAACGAAAGACACAAGATCACGCCTTCCCGAGAGAAAGAAAAAAGTTATTTTCTAGCTGTTGAAATCTCGACGCCATGTTTGTTGTAAGAAGTAAACAACGAAGAGAACAAAAAACTGCGGAATTGTTGAACGCATGAAAAATCGTTTTTATTATGCAAATTCTTCTATAAATCATGTCGTTGTGTTAAATTATTCTTTATCTTATGTGTGCTTACGTTGTCACAAGCGAAAATTAAGAAAATTGCAGTAAAAAGCCACCACCAAATTGTAAACAACGAACAAATGTAAATAAACGGCTAATGTCAAAGTCGCCCAACTTTTTTCCTAAATACGATTATAACGGGCTACTAAGAAGAAGACGTGATCTTGTATTTTTGGTTCATGCAATAAGACCACTCAAGCTTTATCGAGCTGAAGCTTTGAAGTTATTTGTCCTATGCCAAAAATTTAAAAAGAGAGTCGAAATTGGGGTTTTTAAACTGTCTGGGAAATTACATTTTTTTTTTTGATCTGTCTATCTTATTATGACCTTGACTTAAATATTTCTAAATAAATACTGCTTAGTCCTTATTCCCTCGAAACTCCTGAAGAGGTAACAACTTAGAGGTAAAAGGAGCAATGTTTTTTCCTATGTTACGCTTGGCTAGAAGGCAGGGTGTTTTTTTGTATGGCCTATCTGATTGACTAGAATAACATTTAATTAAAAAATTTCCTCACGATTACATTAAGCTAGTTTGTTTCTATTTTGGCGTCTGGCACACAATAGGAAATTTATGTATATGTATGTATGTGTTGTGTAAAAAAAACTCCTTTTAATGATGGTCGAAATTAGTTATGTTCCTCCTTTTTTGAACACACTCACATATGTACATATGGGCATCTTTGTATAACAAATTGTTTGTTTGCATTTTAAATTGTTTATTAAAATCTAGATAAACAATGCCGAACTTTGAATTCATAAAACCAAACCAACCAAAGCAAAAATATTTTATCATACACGTACACTATGCATACATTCATTTAATATACATATGTATCGACCCCTTTGCGTGAAATTATCGTGGATATGTGTCAAAAACTAAATTTTACAGGAGAACGTTTTCAAATTTTTTTGAACAAATTTGTATCAAAAAGCCAATTTCTAAAAAAAGCGCGAAGGGGGGTCGATATCATTAAGTACATACATACATATATCCAGGTACGGTACATTACTGATGTGTAATTAGTTATGTGCTAAAATACGTATTTATTCAAACATATTGTATCTACATGTATATGTAAATGATACACATACATACTTATTGCATATGTTTACAGTGACAAGTGATTTGGCTGCAGTAACACACATACATATGTACATATATACATACATACTACATACGAGATGACAGCATCACCTTTTAAGTATCGTCAAGCAATTATTTGTACGCTTTTTTTTTATATGGCTGCGGCCGCGCAAAATTGATGTTGGACTCCTGGCTTGCAGTGGCTCACCGGCGGCTAACGCATGCCGCTGGGGTAAAGAGTTATGCGAGCCGTGGGTACCTCAATGCAAAGCGGATGGCATTAGGGTGTGGCATGAAAAGAATGCCAAGAAGGGTTGTGCCGTTGTTGCGTGCCAAAAATTTGTCTAATTACGTAAATTCTCGGTGCAGGAGAGTAAAAAAGTTTAATGGAAAACCGAAAAGTTGCAAAGTGCTAACTCATATTTGTTTTAAATTAACACTGTAATCGTAAAAAAAGCAATAACATTAACTTCTAAGCTCTCTATCTTTCTTTTACTTTTTGTTCTAATTTGTACGTAACATTTTCAAAAGATGTCCGTGAATAAATATTTATGTAAAGGGTATTTGGTAGAAATTTTAGTAAATGCAAAATACGCAGGCAGGTTCAGCAATTAAATTCCGAGTGAATTTCAATCAAATTTTAAGGCTTTGAATTCAAATTTTCAGGGTTTGAAATTTTCACTCGTAAGTGAATTGCAGAACCTGCCTGATAAACTTCTTGGTATTACTAAATGTATCATTTATTAAACATACTTGCACTTATTAGCAAAAATTGGAAGTATTTATATTCAAATTGCGGCAAAACGGCACTTCGCTAACCCGTCTTCTTCCCGTCTTCGACAGACTATCCGCTTGCGCTGGGCGACACCTGAGTAGTTGGTCGCGCTCGCTCTCGCTCTCCCCTACCCCCTTTCACTTACATAGATTTGTTTCTAATAATAATTAGTTAGACAAATACTTTTCAAGGTAATAATACATCATTAAATATTTTTATATGTAATGTATTTGTTAGTTGACAGCAACAATATTTGCGTGCAATTGTTTCTAATTTTTACTTGCTACTTATTGCTGCTGTTTGCTATGTTGTTGATGTTGTTTGGTGAGGTTGATTTTGCAACTATGTATTTTTGAGTACCAGGTACTACTTACTAAATTTAAGATGGTTGGGAGAATTAAATAAGCAAAAAAGAACAGTTTTGTAACCATGCAGGGTGTATGAGGCGCTCATGAAACCGCTTAGGGAGGGGGGGAAAAATCAATATTAAAATGAAAAATGAAAAATAAAAATTATTTATGATGCAAAAATACTCTCAAAACGTCTAGATGCTCTTTTGCATAAAAAATTGAAAATTAAAAAAAAAAACCTTTTTTTTTTGGCGGTAAGGCTGGATATGTATAATGATTATACTATAATCATACTAAGGACTTAACGTTGGTCGAATGGTTCTTTTTGTTATAACAACGGTTCATGAAGATTATGATGCACGAGATGTTCTGTCATATGATGTGATGTCGTCATGTATTATCTCGTGTAACATCACATCACTAAAAGTTTAAAAAGTTTAAAAGAAAATGGTTAAACATCATTTGATATGACCTAATCAATCACATCACATACTTTTTTGAAACAAATACAATGCAATAATAATTTTTTCTTGCGACTTCATTCATTGAATATATTAATACATATTATGTCACATTGATTTAGTGAGCGTATGTCCTACCTCTACAATTGCGCACCCTGCCCTGTCTGTTACAAAACTGATTTTTTTCTTCAACATCTAAAATCTAAGTATGATTTGAACTCGTATTGCTAGTCAATTTTGTCAAAGCCCTGGTTTCCCTTGCATCCCACCCACTATGTATATATACTATCTACCCCCTCACTTTATATAATTTTCTTCTAAAATACACAGTAATTCATTGTTTACATTTACCAATAAATAAATAATACTTGTCCCCAAACATTTATCAATTTTGCTTTAATATCTGGGAGCGAGCGCCCAATCGAAAGCGTGTCACATTAATTTTGCTGATTAAAAAATCCCTTGCAAAGGTGCGTCGCATGCAAGCGAGAATGTTTTACAGTGTAATTCTTAAAACAAAAAATTTTAATTTTCACATTTGTACATAGTATGCAGCATTTGTTGCTTGCCACGCACAAAGCAGGCGATGTGTTTGCGCACATCATAGCTGCGTCCTGGGCGCGTCCCAACGGACAGGCTGTTGGATTTTTTAGTCCTTGTCACTACCCTAGTACATATATATATATAAATTTATATGTATTTGCATATATCTTTTCTAAGAATTTTTTTTTTTTGGTTTGCTACGTTTATGACAAAAATTGTCTGTTTATGAAGCTGTTTAAGTTTTTTTTTACAGAGATTTTCTGTGCGCAGTGATTGCCGGTTGCAAAAATAAAAAGATGAAATAAAAAATGCAAAACATTTTTGCTTCTATTCGCTTATTTAGTATGCATATATACATATATATTTAATATTCTACATTCTTTTTATGTTATGCTTGAAAGATTTACTACTAAACGTAAGGGCATACATATAAAAATGATTTTTCGAAGTATATTTTGTTGTCCCTAGGAAATCGGATAAAGGTTGCATTTATTGCGCAGCGAAAAGTAGTTAAAACGATTTAAAGCTTTGAAAAAAAAAAAATAAAAATGTTCAAGCGGCCTTTTATTCAACACCATTTTACTACTTGCATACATATACTATATAAATATATCATATAAGTTGAAATAATTTTAAAATAAATTTGAATTTACAGCAGCAAATGCGTAGGCAAAAGTTTAGCTTTCAGCTTTGAATACATATTTTAAACAAATAATTAAACAATATAGTATACAGTAGTTTGCAGAGTTTGTACTATCTACTTGTATGAAGTTATGCGCCTGCGGTTATAGTTACACACATAAAAAAAAAATGTTCAGAAAAAATATAAAAAATGCAAAAAACAAATGTTTACATCAGCTACAAAAAAAAAAAAAAAATTATATGCCCCGAAAATAGTATGAAAAATATAGCAAAAATAAACGCTACTTTCTCCACAGCTCGCTGGTTTGTGTTTCACAGCTTTTGTTGTTTTAAAATTGAAAAAAAAAAAAATTCAAAACAAAAACAAAAGTATTGGCTTTTGTCTATTCTACATACTATCGTATCGTAATTACTGTTAAAAAAAAAAACGTAATGAAAACAAAAATCAAAATCAATCAATACACTAATCATAGTCTTAAGTAAGTACTAAGTTATTATTTAAAGGCCTACTTTTTTGTCTTCTTCGCCACTTTGAAATGTAGTTATTAAATTATACCTTGTTGTTATACATATTTATCTTCTGAAATAATTTTATATTTCATTTTCTCGTTTTTATTCTTTTTTTATACATATGTATGTACATACATACTCGTATGTACATCTATACTTGGATTACGGTATTCTTTATTAATTTGTTTCACAGTTGAATGTAATTTTATATGCAAGTGTAATGCAATATATATACCATAAATTTAAAAGCAAAACAAAAAAAAAACAAAAGAAATTATGTATAGTGTTTCTGTAAATTTTATTATATTTAAATATATATCAAGCTACTTCTTATATAAACTTTAATCAACGCTATGAATTGTTGTTTCATTTGTTTCGATGTTTACGATCGGCTCCAAAATAAATGGAAAATAACAATGCAAGCCCTTATTTGGGAGGTAGGTATTAATTTTAATTCGACATAATATCTTTTATTTGCATGGAATACTCGTAGCAGTTAAATTTTTCGCATATGCATTACATACATACGCGGCGAGCATTTGGCTTTTGGCGTTAAATTCATGGTGAGTAGAAAAAGGGTGCCATAATTTTTTATAACATCAGCACGAAACGAAAACGTGTTTGGGCTTTCAAAACAACGAAATAATAGGTTTTTCGACGCCTGAAATGCGTTTTGGATTAAATGTTTCAAGTATTTGTAAACAACGCAAACAACACGGCAACCATACAATAAATCAGAAATAAAAATGTAGAAATTTAAAAGTTTTTTGAATGTCGAAATAAAAAAGGTCGATAAAAAAAACCAAAATGTTAAAACCAACTTGGAAACATAATTTTTAAAATATTTTATTAAAATCCACTAAATGTTCATCTTTTGTCATTAGGGGTCTTCACATCGAGCTCGTTGCTTCGTTAGTTGGTAGTTTTACTTATATTTTTTTGGATTTACAAAAACTAGCACCCCTATTGCGAGTGTCAACTAGTAGTAGATAAACGCACTTTTACAAGTAGCGAAGGAACTTTCTTCGAGTTTAACAGATTTCGCCCCATAGCATCGATGTTGGGCCAAAAATTAAAAAAAAAATTCTAGATAAAAATCTATTCCCACCCATGTTGTCATATTTAATTATTGATAAAAAATGAGCTTGAATTTTTAAGCAAATCGATTTTAATTAAATCGAACTAAGTTTTTGAAAAAAGTGGTATCCTTTAATAAATATTTTATATGTTAATATGTGTCATAAGCTAAGGTGGTTTGGCGAAAAGAATTCAAACCCCTAAAATATTAGCCACATTGCGAGAGTCGTTTTGAACGCAAGTCCTTTTTCGAGAGTCGAATGGTATCGAAAATTTTATGCCATTCCCTAAAATTTCGACTCGACTAGTGTATTAAAACAGAAAAACTTGGCAGCACTTTACTTATTTCAGCACGTAGCACAGTAGACAGTGCCAACGTTGTCGAGTCGTACAATTTAGCCTAATTTACGACTTACGCAATGAGGCTGAATCTTTAGTCGAAATTTGAGCGATTTTACATATTCATTACATTATTCCGATAATATTTTTCGATCTTATTATATTCGAAATTTTTTTCTCCACCTTTTTGGTTTTTAAAATTAAATATTTTATGGCTGTGGTTTTTGTTCACTTCTTATTGAGAACCAGCACTAATAGGCTTAGCTAATTATCACGTTTCATGCGACAAATATCAATTCGTAATAGAGGATAATGGAACGCAAGCGTTTATCGTGCATCGTACGAATTCAAATAATATATTTATCCCAAATTAAGTCAATTGAATGGCTAACTGTTTTGGGTACAAGTATTGCACTGGAAAGTTATTAAAACTTGAAATAAATCAAGTACAATCATTTCTGAATACCGGTAAATGTAAATAAAACTCAGTACTTTAAAGTATCTAAACGACAGTTCATACTGAGTACTTCGTATCGATCCGGAGTATTTTTGAGTACTGAGTACTTTCGAGTTCTTTTAAGTTCTGAGTAGATACTTTCGAGTTCTTTTGTGAGTAACTACTGAGTACTTTGGAGTACTCAGTATCGATACTTTTTAAAATCGGGTACTGTCGTTCCTTTTGACTTGACTCGAGTTCTGAGTACTTTTGGCATCGATAGTGCCCAACACTACTTATAATATTCATACCAATGCAGCGTCATTCATTCAATTCTGTATTACCTACGATTAGCGCATATCCAAAAAAAAGTTTGAGTTATTTTTTGAAATAAATCAAATTGAGTGAAACATCTGTCCTACTCCAAACAAACTCACTCAATGGCTCATTGCTGCGGCTTGGCGTTTTAGTTAGTGCTGTTGCATTTGAAGCTTTTCAATTTGGCGGAACAACTTTTAGTTTTGTTTTGAGCGGCAAGCGGCAAAGAAGTTGTAGCGGCAAAATGAGAATTTAGTGTCGCTGACATTGGATTGCTTAAACTTAAACGTAAACGTATTGTTTTTTTGTAATTCTAACGATAAACAAGTTGTGGCTCATAGAGGTGCTGCCGATTGTGCGTTAGATGAATGTGAGTAAGAAGAATATTAATAACAAATTTTGTGTACAAATGCGGTGAACAACAAATATATTTACTATAGAGATGATGTTGAAAGATTAAAAAAAAAAAAACACTTAGATGAAGACTAACGGTGTTATTACAATGAAGTGACATTTTCATAAAAAATTTCGATTTATAAAGCAGTTAAAGTCTTCTCTTTTTTTTATAAATTTGGGTGTAAATAAATAAAATAAAATAAAATTAAATAGATAAAAAAGAAACACTAAGGCAAGCAAAGCAAAATCAATATTGATGAAAAACACTTTTGTATTGCTTTTACATCACCTCACTTTTTATTGTCACTTTGAAACCAACTAAAAGCCGACAAATTGGCTCAAGTGAACCTCTCAGTTGGCAGGAAAGAAAAAGTCGCATACAACAAATGCCTAATTTGTATCAGTTCAACCGCCTGAAGTTTTTATTTTAATTTTGCCTTGAGAGTCTTTAATCATCGCGCTCAATGGACAATTTATTTAAAATGTCAGCCTTGATGCATATCGAATACTAAAGTCGAGTGATGATCAGCAGATCTGCAAAAGCGCATGTAACGAATGTATGTAAATGATGTCAGTATACAAATGTACATATGTACTATTTATATTACCGCTCACGTACATATATACATATATATATATACTAATACATAGTCGTTAAATTGCAAAGAAAGCATTAATTACCGGCTGAAGCAGCCGCCAAAGTGTGCAAATGCGCTAAGCAACGGTAGTAATACATTAAAAAAAAAAAAAAAAAAAAAACAATTCATTGTACACAAAAGTAGCGAAATTTTGGTTTGTCAGCGGTGCAAGACAAACAATGATGTAATTTCGGTGTGACTAAATGCCCATAAACTTTTGGGAATTTTACTAGCAAGGCGTGACATAAAAGATTTAATAAGTATGTATTTGCAAATATACAGAACAAATTAAATTTCCAACGAAATGCAATGCATTTAATAAATACATTTAAATTTTGTTCTAAGCACTTAGGCGAGAACATTTAAAATGATTTCAGTTTTATTTTTGGTTAAATAATCATTTGAGCGAATGAAAAGCGAATGGCAAAGCATTTAAACGAAGCCGTTAAGCCTTGAAACCAAACCAAACCAAAGACTTAAGTTGCAAACCTGATTCAGACTGTATGTGTGTATGTATGTATGTGCGCGTCAAAGCAAAGCACAGCACATTTGCTGTGAATGCGATCTAGCACGTTCGCGCGTGATCGGTTCACTAGCTAAAACTGCATACACACACACATACATATGTATGTATACAATTAGCTAGCGGTTTGCCTACCTGTCTTTCACTTGGCGTTTATACTACAAAATATTTTGGGTAACGCAAAAAAAAAAAAAAACTCTTTGACAGCTTAAAATTCACTGTCGCTCCCGCGACCGCTACACAGAAAATTCGTTAGGGCGCACATGCTTATAAATTGTATTTGTGTTGAAGCACGTTTGTGTTAGATATATTTTGTGTGCAGGTACATACATACACATACATACATATTTGTATGCCCAAACGTGTGCCGATAAATTTATGCGCATATATTTAATGTCGCGACGCCAAAAACGAACAAATAAAAACAAGTAGAACGTTGAAATGCCGGCTTGAAATGCGCTGCACAGCAGTTGAGTAGTTAAAAAAAAAAAAATAAATAATAATTTTTAAAGAAAAGCGAACACCTAAAGGTCGGATCACATTGTTGGTACATTTTCGAAACTTGTATATTTTTTTTTATTGTATCTATTTATTAGCACAAACTACAAAAATTGGAACGAAAATTTCTTTAGCAACTATAAATTTGAACAATGTGTATATAAAAATAGTCTCTCCTGATTGGCACTAGTCTAAATATTTGTTTTCCGATCACACGATTGGGGTACCAATTTACTCTACATTTTGAGCAAGTGCGCAGTCGTCTGATCCGGCCTTAAAGGTAGTAGAAAATTTAGATAAAAAAAAACTGAAGCATTAAGTTTCTATGATAAGTAGGTAGAGTTGTTTAGAAGACGGCCAGAGAGATACCCTTTGTTTTCGGCACCTAATGGCAAACTGAGTCTACTTTTGAAGAAAGTACTACGTCGTTGGCTATTCAACAAGGGAACAATGCAGAGTTCGGTAAAGAAGGCTAAAACTAAAAGTGTTATTATAGCTGGATGGCATCTGGACGATAACTTAAGGGTGCTTTACTGATTTGTGTGCAATGGCAACGGTATTTCAATCGGAAGTCTTTGCAATACTGAAAGAGGCAGACTGGATAATTGGCAAAAGGTAGCGCGGAAATAAAATCAGTGTCTGCATGCAATTACATCTAAGCTGCCCTAAAGGTATTGAAAACTGAACTCCGTTATGTGATGGAACAAGCTTGAACTTGTCGGGTGATAGGACACTGTGGTGATCACCGTAGGCCATTATAGATATAATGTGTACATCTTGTTTGCCAGACTTAAATGGTACATTTTTGGATCGGATGGATTAAGAGTGGAGGAGCTACATTCTCTTTCCCTCAACAAACTGCTAAGATTCATAAAATAGTCTGGTAGGTTTGCAGAGGAGCAATGAATTCCCATCACAGCTGTATATATATATATCACTATCCTCTAAATAATCCCTCTTGGCTTTAAGTACAATGGGCCTGGGTGTTTGGAAAATTGTTTTGGTTTGGTGGATTAAACTGCAGTTGCCGTCCTACGTTTTTTTTATTTCAAGCAAGGAAAAAGTTATGTGCAAAATTTGGTGCTGCAATCCCCAAAATACATGTTCTCCAATGTTTCATGAATTTCTACGGAATTTCGGTGAAATAGTGGCCACAACGGCGTTCGATTATTCAACTTTTTTCCAAAACCGGTTTTCGAGTTATTCGAAAAATGGAAACCAGTTTTATTTTACATAGTTTTAATACCGTTTCTTAACACCTTTATTTCAAAATGGAGAATATGGCTATATTTCCGATAAATATCAATAACGCCAACGCTGATGCCAAATTTTCATTTTTATAGATCCGAAGGCGACTCAGTCGTATGCGTAACAAGAACTATTTTGAAAAAAAAAAAAAAATGAGAAGGATCTGTAGCGCCAACTAAAAACAAGAAGAGGTCGTGGATTTACACTATGTACATTAGGGTGGTCCAAAAATGCATGTAAAAAAAAAGTAAAGTCCGAATTTTTATGCTCTCACCCCCTAGGATTGTTCTATATCGAAGAAAAGTATACCCCTTTTTTTGTAGAGGTCGCTCAAAGCGCTCAAAATTTTCCAAGTATTTTGCATGAGGAAAAAAGAACTTTTCGTGGAAATGGTATAGAATTCTCGAAAATCAATATTTTTCGATCAGAAGACTCTGTTTCTCTTCAACAGATTCCCAATAAAAAACCTAATTATATTTTTAACAATTTATTCTTAGTAACTTTATTTTATAGGACCGCCAACACCCTCTAGAAAATGCCAGAAAATGCAATGAGGGGGATAAATAATATATTTTCATTATTAAAACATGGTTAAATAAATAATTAAATATTGTTATTGGAAGTTTCCTGAAGAGAACCAGAGTTGTCCGGTCGAAAAATATTGATTTTAAAGAAATATTGATTTTAAAGAAAGAACCATTTCCACGAAAAGTGGATTTTTTCCCATACAAAATACATACTTTGAGCGACCTCTGAATATTTTTTGATTTCAAAATAAAAAAATTATGGTTATACCTCTTTCGATATAGAACCATCCTAGGGGGTGAGAGCATAAAAAATTCCGACTTCACTAATTTTGGACCGCCCTAATGTACATACACCTTATAAGACTTAACACCACTGAATACAATGATTGACGACTAGGATAACCAAACATTGCTTATTTTTTTAACAGCACTGTATTTAATGTACATATACATATATGTATACTACTTTAAAATATATTCGAAAACAAACATAAGTGGCAATAAAAAATGGCAGGTGAATGGGGCTTCTAACTAGTTCAACCGCGTTATGAACTTGAACGCTGAGAAGTTCGAGTGTTTAGCAATTATGTTTATGAACTTCTTATTTGAATTTGAATATGTTAATGAGTGCAAAAATTATAATTATAATTATTTATGTATACATACATACATACATGTGTAGTTATGTACATAAAATTAAATTGTTAGAGGTTTTTTACAGCATCCCACCAGAGGCATTTGCAATGGCTTTAGAGAGCCATTGACTAAAGTGTATTTCCAAAATGAATCAGCAAGACAGAGTTTATTTGCGTACTAGAATTTATTTGCGTTTGGCTTTTGTTAGTGAAGTTGGAAGTTTTATTTGCAATTTGCGAGTTTTTTTTTTTTAATATAATGGCTATGGGAATGTCGAAAATCTTGTTGTTACATAAAGAAAATAGCTTATTCTGTAGACTTCTGTGGCACACATAAAAAGCCATTTAATTTTAAGGCCACAGACATTTGTGAAGCACTCAATATAGACTGCCTACTGAAGGTTTTCTTGATATTAGACAGAGAACTTAAAAAGTGTTGGCAACGCCGCACAGTGGAACAAAATTTAATATCTCGTGAAGCAATAGTGGAATAAAGGTAGAAAAAAATATTTTAAACCTTTTGGGATCGAGAATTCAAGAAGAAAAACTAGTCTCGTTGGATAAAATAATTACCTTAGTATTTAAATTGACCTTGAAAAAAACTGTATGCAACGAACTTTTTAAAAGTTTAAAACATATCTATATACGTGTTATTTTTGTGTCAAAGGAATCAATTTTCATTGTCGCAAAACCGAAAAATATATTTCAACTTTGTTTTTTTTTTTCTTTAAAGCGCATTGTATGCTGTTTGAGGTAAACAAATTTTGGGGTTCTCCCGTTTTTGGTCTAAAGCCGCACGCAATCTACTTAAAAAAAGTTCAAAATATGTTTTTGGTGGTTCTTGTCACCAAGTAAATGGATTCCTTGAACCAAAAAAAGAAAAATATATATTTAAAACTTTTTGAAATTTCCCATCTCAAAAGCTTTAATACACCGTTACATTTATTTCGCTATTTGGGCGCTTACATACATAGTATTTGATTAAAAAAAAAAAAACGCGATTAAATTCTTTTTCGAAAATTTCAGCATACATACATATGCACTTACGCTACGAAATGCTTATAGCAATAAGACTTTTATCTCGAGTGTATCAGCAAATAATTCAAGGCGTACCATCACATCTCTTGAGAAGCTTACGTGCCAGTCTGGGTGAAATTTAGCAACACCGTTTATAACCACGACTGTCTGTTATTTAGAAAAAAAGTCAATAGATAATGATCGTCTCTCATTTTAAAATAAGTTTTTCAAAAGGACGAGTCAGAGGTCATAACGTTGCTTGATCATTGGGCTACTTTTATATCGGCACACAATAAATTGTTCCATTTTATGTGGGTTGCATAAAGTTTATGAGCTCACTCGAACACCAAAAAAATTTATGGATTAGTGGGTAAGAAATATATATGTACATAAATATGTGTGTATGTACACATGTACATTCATTTATACTCGTATGTATGTATGTACTTCTGTGCTCTTTGAAAAATCAAAGCGCCTTTGATCAGTCGAAACTATCATTGTATCCATTTTGGATTAAACTTATTTGCATGCGTACAATGCGAAAGCACAAAAGCTTAAACAAAGGAATAGAAAGGTGCACAAATTCGCTTGTGTGTCCACTTTAGCGGTTACGTAAATATAGACTACTACAAACAAATGACTACAATAGAGGCGGTGACGCTATGTGGCAAACGAATGCAAAATTGTTTTGAAGTTGTGATTGGACAAGGTCGTTGAATAAGAAAGTACTGAAGAAAAAAAAAATGAAGAAAAATCGAAACTATTTACAGACATCAATGTTATTGTGCAGAATGCTTTTGTATTGCGTTGTAGGCTTATTTTTTTTTGCATAAAATGTACTCATTCATAAACTTGATTGCTAAATTCATGCTGGGAAAAGATACATATGTATGTAAAATTTAAAAGGGAAATAATTTAATTTTCAATTGAAGCGGTTAACAAAGGACTTCTTAGGATCGTTTTTTTTTCAAGTAGCAAAATTTGTGCATAAATGCCATCTAAATTTTAAAATTAAGTTGACAAACTGCCCTTTAAAACTCAAAAATCAGGTTAATCATATAACTGTATCGTTACTTCCTTAATTTCAAATTTAAATATTGCAAATAAAAACATTTCAATTAATAACTAATATAATTATCTATTTTCAGCATTACGCAGATTGATCCCAAGTTGAAGTATTAACTAGTATAGAAAAGGGAGAATAAAAGTAAAAGAAAACCTGCAACAATAACATCATCACCGACTACAGTATTTCGTTGTGCTAAATATTTCAACTCCACGAGCAGGTTCATTCCCGTTAAAATTAACATATTTTATCATACTCCGTCGAGCCCAAATCGAGAAAAACTATTAGCCACAAGCGCTAAATAATATTTGTAGCTTCAGTAATAGATTACGAAATAGTAAAATAATCACGAAACTACAGTTGAAGCAAAAAAACAACAACAATATTACAAAATGGCCTCCAAGACGCTTCGAACTGTATGCGCCATTTTACTCTTCACCACCTTGGCTCTATGCAAGGATAATTTGCGCGTCGCTTACGAATGGAAGGAGATGGATTACAAGTACGAGAATGCTGAAGCGCGTTGGACGGCTATTGAAAACCATGAATTCCGCCCAGATAATGTGATACCTTTTGGATTGGAAGTTTATCGATCGCGCATGTATGTAGCGTTGCCACGTTGGCGCGATGGTGTACCGGCGTCATTGGCCTACTTTGATCTCGATGGTGAGTTGAAATCGGTCATAGACACTGTGTATTGACTCGAGAGTATTTTTTATTGGTTTTGTTTCCCTGGTGGCTCCAAGCGAAATTCTGCGCTTAAGTGTAAAAAAGACCCATAATAGAGGTGCTAAAGAGTTAATTATGTGAGGATAAAATTGCTTGACAAATTATACCACTACTAGTCACTGAGTACAAGAAGGGCAGTGAAATAGTAGTACTCCACGCTTTCAATTTCTTTCTCAGCAGCTGGAGCTAACATGCCCTTCTATCAGACAGTGAACTGTTTTAATTCTGGTCACTAGCCTAAGTAGAGGGCGTTTTAGACGAATGATTTGTCGTATCGTTCTATACGTGGGTTCTTCCGACCATTTTTTTTCGCCTTCTCGACGAAGTATGATTTAGGCCATCCTATGCAGCTAGATAGAGGTACATATGTATGTCCGTAACGGGAGAACGAGTTGACATCTGACGGGGATATTTCCTTCCTCACAAGCTCGTCTACCTTGCAATTACCCTGTCTCTATCACCTGTCATTCAATGTCAATGTGGGTAGTAAACTTAGAAGCTAACTTGCTAAGAACTTGTCTACATCCTCTGCAATTTTCGACGAGGTTTCACAGCATTCCAGTGACCTTATAGCTGCTTGGCCATCGGAGTGGATGGTTACTAAAGGCAGATTAAGAGAATAATCAATATGCCAAAGTGCAGCCCCTTTTATGGCTGATTTGAAAGACTAAAACAGAGATTTAGTAAAAGGTCCTTCGAGTTTATCACGTCTTCTACTCTTAGTTTTAGCCTAAAGCTACCCATGTATAAGGCTGTAGAGCAGTGTCGGGCACACTCATACTATTACATATTGAAAAGTGTGTGTTAGCAGCGCAGTCTTGCTTAACAGCAATTGCTTTGATTTGCTTATAGTAAGGCCGTCAACGTCTTATATAAGAACACGCAACGCTACTTCGAGGTTACTGCCCAGTCAACGTCACCAAGGCCTGCTTATAGTATGGGAACAGTGGTGCAATCGCGAAATTTTCGATTGAATTTCTGGTGGATTTAATTTTTTTATTTATAGATAATTAAATTCAAAAGGGGTTTAAGCAGCTACTTTTTAGAATTAATTTTATTAATTTTAATGTTGAAATATCAACAAAATATAGAAAAATTCAATTGCCGTTTATTGTTTTTGATCGGTCGGTCGATCAAATTTTTATTTGATCAAAACATTTAATTATAAAACACAAAAAATTAAGAAAAGTAGCCCCTTAAACCTCTAAAGAGTGTAATTAACTTTCAATGAAAAACAATTAAAATCCTTCAAGAATTGTAGGCTGTAGACCTTTTTAAATAGTAAATTTGTCATTTGCACCACTGTGCGAAGTTGGCAGCAAAAGACAATGTATTCATGCCAAAAATGCCCGATACTGCTTTAGAGTTACATATCTCCAAAACACCAGATCGTAGTGGTTAAAATCTTCTATGAAAAAAATTGTCGCTAAATGGTATTACAGATATCAGAATACAAGAAATTCGTTCAAAGTCAATTTATAAAATTACTGTAACTGTAACATGATTGAATTTGGGACCAAAAAGGGTACAACTTAACTCAGTGGAAAAAAATATTGTGATGAGATGTAGTAGAAATAGCCTCTTGGAGCTTGACTGTCTCGAGTGGAAACGACCGTTTGGGCTTTTATTCGTTGAAGGTCCTGTAAAAAAAACAAACACCAAATTGCTTCACAGTGTCAACTTTCCACTAACACTTTGATTTGTGATAGACATTAGTGCTCCTTACCAACATCTCAGTACATACATACATACATATTTATTTTTTAAGATAAAAAAAAATAGACAGAAAATAGCAATCAGCCTAATCAGATTAATTTTATATAAATTCTATAGACTTGACTTAGTATAGTAATCTACTCAAACTAATATTTGCCTTGTTTCCTCGTATTAGCTAAACAAAAGAATTAATAAATATGTATAAGACTATGAAGTTCACTTTAAGTTACTTTAAATTCAAAGTCATTGCAATTTTATATTCAGAATTTATTGCATTCAATCGTCATGGGAAATAATGTACCTCATCGTTATAGAAATTTATGTATATATGTACATATGTACAAACAAACAAGTGTACATGATGTATGTATGTGTTCTACTGAGTTGAGTTTGAGTGTAAAATATTAAAATTAATCCATTAATAAACTCAAGCTTTGCGCAAAGACCGGTTGGACCATTGCTTACTCAACTGCACCCACATAACAATTTTCAAATCACATCTGGTTACATGTGTATGCCAATAAAATACAGTAAAATATTTTTTGTGCTGTTTTCATTGGCAACATATTAGTCATGGGGGGAAATACGAGCACATATTGATGCAGCCAAAAAAAAAATCTGTGTAAAATAATTTTGGCGGTGAGAATGCGTGAAGTCATACAAAGATATACATATGTAAGTGTAAGAGTACATATGTATGTACATTAGGGTGCCTCACCAACAAGCTGCAGTTATTATATTGTAAGACTTTCGCCAAAATATTTCGCAAATTATTAAGGTTTACGTAAACTGGACCGAAAATTCTTATTATTTTGATGGCGCTGAAACAATTTGTAAAAATTTTAAGCATACCTTCTAAGCATAAACTGGCTTATTAAATATAGTTTAGAAATAAAAGAGGCTGATGCTTTGCATTGATGCAACTTGGAACTCAGCCACTCTTCTACGACTACTACTCTGAAATGTGTTTTTGGAAAAGAATATTTTTGAAAACCAATTTGATTTAAAAAAACGGGTTTTATGAAAATTTTTTCAAATCGGTTCAGTTTATATAAATTTTAATATTTTTCTGAAATATTTTATAATTCCGATGGGAAAACAGTACCGATTATTTTTTTTTTTTGACTGACGCACCCTAATGTACATATGTATTTGTGCGGGCTATATATGTACACACATATGTACACATATACATACATAGATAGTATTTTTGTAAGCATCAATGAACTCTGGTATACGAATTCACTGAAGGCATAGAACTGTTAATTTGGTAAATACTTCGCCTTACACGGTTATGACACATAAGCTGAATAACCAAATAAATGCAAAAATCAAACAACAAGTGAAGTAAAACTCTAATTTGTTTGTTATTCTCTTAGATATCTCGCTTAGATTATCATTGTCAGACATATTGAAATCTTGATTTTCTGCTTTTATTTACGCTTTTAGCTTGAAGACATAAGAATATTAGTAAGAGCGAAAGAAACAAAAATATGCATTTACCACGTTTCATTTCCAATGCCTTTAGCTTTCTTAAATTTATTTACCTGCAAAAGCAAATATTAATTCTGAATACTCAGAACTTTTCAAATATTTTTTATGACAAATCATTTGCAAGTTTACCTACTCGTTACTACCTAAGCACCTCTTTTAATAAAAATAAATGATTTATTGACAATAAATCGTTTGTTTTGTTCACCACTTCGTAGTAGTTAGTTAAAAAGTTGTTTGCAAAGAAAAAAAATAATAAATCGTCTCCTCTGGGTCTGAAAAGAAATTCACGATTTCATGCTAATTAAAAAAATAATCTAAACAACCAGTTAAGGTTTTTATTGGCCATAAAACTTCATAACGACTTGTTGACTTAACACGTTGAATGCCAATGGAAGCGCGTACATAGTGTAAGGCTTTCGCTGTAAATATATCCCAGGATTACCCTTATAATTTGTTTTATTTCACCAAGGTTTAAAACAGATTATATCGGAGCTCAACGAGAGGGTTAGAAGTTGTGTTAATAGATACAATACTGTGACCGGCACCATAGCTAGACGGGGAGTTAAGGCTGTGCATTCAGCTATTCATCAGAGCCCGAATCAAGGCATCCTCGGTTGAGTGAAATTCAATTTAAAATTTATTTTTATATTTATTATATTTATCGAAACGAGCAGTCATTCGATCACTGATGCCGTGATTCGTACTCTGATGCAATCATACATATCTTAATATCAAGCTAGGATTTGTCAGGGATTAATACTAAACAGCCGCAAAATACCCCACAGAGAGCATTCACATACACTGATGATACGCGAGAGTTAAAACGCCCAAACCTATGAAAAATTTATGAGAATAGCCCCAACCTAATAAGATCCTCTCCTCCGATTCCTTTAGCATTCCGCACCCAGGGTGGCAGCTTGGTTTATATTGCTAGTAGGTTTCGGCTGGATCCTCAAAGCAAGACTTTGTTTCGGTATACATATTCTTTTTTTGATTTCGTTACTCTCCATTTACTTAGAGTGTTTTAAGGAAAAATTATTAGATTTCGAGGAATCCAATAGTTCACAATTTTCAAAGCATTTCCATTTTAAATAAACTTTCACTAAGTCGAGCGAAGCATCTTTCTAGGACCTTCAACCTACCGTAACCTACGCCAAATACTCGCATCAATTCACCTATTTATTTATGTACATATCTTCTTTTCAGACAAATCAACAAAATCTCCGTCGCTCACACCTTTCCCCAACTGGGAGGCTCACAGTCTGAGTGAACCCGATCCGGAGCTTGTATCACCCTTCCGCATACGCGCCGATCGCTGCGGACGCCTTTGGGTATTGGATTCACGCATCGCTGGCGTCTTGGAGAACACAACCATTTTCGGACCCGCTCAGCTGCTGGTGTACGACTTGCATAATGACAATCTGTTGCGTCGCTACCGTTTCCCCAGCAGTCATATAAAACAAGGTTCTTTCTATGCAAATCTAGCCGTGGAGGATGGCGACTGTGAGAATACTTTTGCATACGCTGCTGACTTGGGCGCTCCGGGTTTGGTGGTTTACTCATGGGCCGTAGATAATTCCTGGCGTGTGCAACACAATTTCTTCCACCCCGAGCCATTAGCTGGAAATTATAGCATTGGTGGTATAGAATTCCAATGGGATGACGGTTTGTACGGCCTAGCGTTGTCCAAGGCACAGTCAGATGGTTTTGCCACACTCTATTTCCATCCACTTAGCTCAACGACCGAATTCGCAGTTAACACTAGAATGCTAAGAAATAAAACCTTGGCTACATCTAGTGGTATCTATCATGACTTCAAAATACTTGGAGCGCGTGGCATAAACGGACAAGCTGGTGCTGCATTTGTAGATCCACGCACAGAAGTTTTATTCTATGCGCTGCCAAATTTGAATGCTTTGGATTGTTGGAGTACAAACAATGCTGAGTATTCCGCAAGCACGCAAGGCCGCGTGTATTCCAGCGCATTGGATTTGGTATTTCCGAGTGAAGTGAAGGTTGATGCGGAGGATAGATTGTGGGTGCTCTCAAATAATTTACAAGAATTCATTTACGATGAACTCTACCCGGGTAGAGTAAATTATCGCATTTTGACAGCGAATGTGGTGGATGCCATCGAGGATACAGCGTGCGATACCAAACAGAAACCGTTGCCAGAGATTATGAAGAATGAATTAGATACAATACTGGATACAGTGGTAAATAGAACCGAGCAGGTGACGACAGCTGCTGGTGTGGCAACGAGAAGCTTAAGTGGCATAGCATTTGTTGGAGCGGTGCTCTTGGGTTTGGGAAGTTATTTAATTTAAGCTTACATAAGTGTGTTTTAGAGAGTAAAGCTTTTGAAAATATTTCGATAATTTCGTATATATATGTAAATACATATAATTAAACTCCGTGGACCATTGACAAAGCAACTTTTGTGTTTTTAACCGACTTCAAAAAAGGAGGCGAACATCAATTTGTCCGAATAATTTTTTTTCATTTGGCTTAGTTCGGATCAGTGGAAAATGAGGACACTAACGGTACTCCTAAATTTTTATATGAGCATTCAAGTTACTTGTTGTGTTTTTCTTTTTTTGCTTAAAAATTACTTATTAAAATGATAATTTTAGATGAAAAAGATGACATAAAACAAAAAACAGTTTTTTACTAAGCAATTTGTTAAGGGGGAATGTGCAACCATAGCGAAATATATATAATTGGTTAATACTTAATGAAGATATGGAATGAGAACTTTAAAACTGCAATACCTTAGAGAACTCGAGATAAGTTGCTTTGTCAAAAGTCCACAGTGTGGTATTTATAATTAAAAAAATTTGCAAAAGTGTACCTATTAAACTTTTTACCAATTGTAAATTTGTTAAGTAGATTAGGGTCACAGAAAGGCAACTGCAGTGTCAAAGCTATGTGAGAGCAAAACATTGTAAATTTCAGTTTCTAAAAAAATGTGTAAAATACTTACGAAATCACAATTTTTATAAATACACTGAATAATTTTGAGCCTAACTTTGCTTAAGCCATAAAATAAATACTTTAATATATTTTACAGTTTACTAAAGCAGCCAGAATTCTATATTTTTCCAAATAACAAGACGAAAAAAAACCTTTATGGTAATGTGTATATCGTCGATTGATGTGCAATCAGCAGTGTATGAGGTGGCACAGAAAAAAAAAACAATAAAGAAGATATATATAATGATACGATTACTAGGGAGAGCAGAGAAATTCAGTTAAGCGAGTTTTGGATTTCGCCTACAAATAAAATTGAAAACCACCACCTTCATCAATCCAGTCATATAGTGAATGAAAAGCAGTGAGTCCCAAAGGTATATACAACATGGAAAAGTAACAGAAGTAATAGGGGTATTCTCTGAGTCTTGCAAAGCCCTTGCGCGCTGCACGGATTGTTGAGATCGGGCTGAAGGTCTTCTTTCTGAAAAAAGCCACATAGGCAGGTGCCTAGGGTGGCATAATTTAGGGGCGGAAAAATTCGAGTTGAATTTTATTTTTTTTTTCAAGCTAGCTGCACTGAAAGTAGAATTTGTGTTTGTACATTTTAAGACATAAATTTGAGATTCAATTACGCAATCAGAAAATAGGACAGCACTGTTAGGTATGTATTTTTCATGATATTATTTAAATGATATAGTTAAAAATACTAATCTAGTATTTTTGAGATTATAACTTATGAAGTGAAAAAAGTTACTTGATGTTGGCTTTCTTTAAAAGTTGAAAACTTCTACTTAAGGCAAATACCACTTTTCCATCTTAAATTGTTATAAAAATATGGTAAATAACATAAATTTCAATATAAGAAACGACAAAATACAAAACATTTAAAATTTTCCAGCACTTCTGTAAATTTATTAAATTTCAATTGGCTACGCGAAATTTAACTACAAGCTGATATTATAAGAGCAGAAGAGCTTAAAAATCACCCTCAACTCCAAGTTGACCTTACAAACGCTCCCTGAAGTTCCAAAGTTAATATATACATATAAAGATGATCTACATTTCTACAAAGAAACCAAAATAAGAATCAATTTTTCATATACAACTCATTTTGTTGTTTAGTTATAGTGGCTATATCGACTGTTGTGTCAGTTGCATGACTATTCTGAGATCGACGTTCTGCTTCGTCCTGAAGTTGTTTTTCATGTTTTAGCTGCTTCTTAATAATGCCACCACAGAAAAATAGGGCCATCTGCAATAGGAAAAAGTTATCTGAAGTAAGTAAAAGAATTTCTTAAATATATTTGTAATTGCTTACATGCTCCAATATGCCGATCAGGCCGAGCACAGAGAGACCCAATAGGAAACCCAACGAACCGCCAATATCAGCAATGAATTGTGTGGCATCATAGCTGGGACTCTCTTCAATCATCTGTTAACAAATAAGTAAGAGTAACATAGAATAAAAATTAGCATTAAACATTACCGATACTAATTTTGTGGTGTAGTAAATCCATATTTGTGTATAGGACGCTCCCAAACTCATTGTTTTTCTATTTTGTACGTAGGTTGAATAAATGCGTGTATCGCAGCGTTGTATGCAGTTACATTCTACATCATCGTCACTAGCGTAGTAGCTGAAAATGCGAAACTAAGTTGAGAAAGAGAGAGCACTGTTTTGTTGCAAGAATGATAGAATACAAGATTGCGCCTATCAGAGAGGATTTTTGAGAATAACTTTGTGTGTGTGTGACGTCACACTGGTGCAATTGCGAGAGAGAAATGCCAAAACGTGAGCAAGAATGGAAGAAGAAGAAGAAAAAATGTTGCAAGCAAAACGTAAACAAGTTGCACAAGTGTGACGTCATACAAACAACTATTCTGTCAAATTCACTGAGAGAGGAAAACCGGGAACCGTGATTGGTGCAACCTCTATTTCTCTCAATCGTGGTTTTGTTGGCCTGCTTACATTCCATACTCTTTTACCAAATTTCGCATTGTTTTGCTGCTGTTGCACGGATTCTGGGGTATATCGCGCATCCAAGGACCAGTGCAGTTGGCTGTGGCGGCGAGCTCTTCGAAAACACATAACTCGGCACACTGAAAGCGGAATTCAGTTATGTTTAAGTCTATTCAGTTGGGGGGAGTAACAAATGTACATACATACCTTCATGTCACTGTAGCTGGGAATGGAAGAGCATGGCGTATCACGGGACTCTGTATTCGAAAACTGCTGGCTATGTAATTTTATTTCAATTTCCTCATTAATTTCTGCAAAAATATACTCTATGCGAGCGGCACCTTTTACATTGAGTTCTGCGGAAAAATAAATCGAAAGTATGCACTCATGGAGTCAAGTAAAACTGCAAAGATATAAGTTGAAGACGACTAAGCCCGTAACAAGCACCTTCAAGGGTTTTCTTTGTGGAGCTTTAAGCTTTTCGCCATCTCATACTCACCTGTGAATTCATGTCGATAGTCGTGTATGTAAACATGCCAACCTGGATTATTTTCCAATGTCATATCCGTTGTGGCGCTCGGATCAACGTGATGCGTAAGCATCAGAGAATAGCCGGTTGAGCGTGTGGTGCGCGTCAATTCTACTTTTGGCTTCAGTGTAAAACAGCGACCCAGATTGAAATGTAAGCTACTTTCGATTTGTAAATCTTTGAAAAGGTTACACAAAATTCTTAAGAAATTTATAATTCTTGCAGCTTATTGCTGGAACTTACTTTCCTTAAACCCATTAAGTCCATATTGTTCTCCCAGAAATGTTTCTTCCAAATCAAATGTTGAATTTTGAAAGAATTCATCAAGTTCCAATTCATTGAAAGGGTAAGCAGACCAACAGGTTACGTATTTTGGGTGCGGACATACGCCATTCGAAAGTTTCTGTTTGAACAAAAAAAAAGATGCATACACTGAGAAAAAAATAAAGCATATCGTGTTGGTTTCATCAGTGTTTTGTATACTTTAAACATATTTTTGTTTGCAACTACTTTTGTGTGAAATCGTAACCTCCCAGATGCTTTTTCATAATTGAGAAAAAATTAACGAAAAATAAAAATCGTATATATTTATGCGATATTTGCATACACTGTGGGGTAATTACACTGTAAAGAAAATCTCAAGTTCTGAAATGACACAAAAAAAAAAACGCAGAAACACGTGAAATTAAGATTGGGTCGTGGATTTCAAATCTGTACACCATTTTTCTAGATCAGGTATTTTTTCAAAGATATTTTAATTTTTACGCAAAAATTCTAATGCTAACAGGAAAAAAACACCAATCGATTGCAATTTTTTCCGCTTGAATTAAAGCCTGTTCTTTTGCAAACAAATCAAGCCATTAAAGACGAAAAATAATGAATAAATAAAAATGAATAAGAAATAAATGAAAATGTGAAATATTTGTTTTTTGCAGAAAATAATGCTACTCATACGCCACATCGCACATAGCATGAGTAATATTTTCCATTCTAAAGTTTGATTTTTTTTAATTGTAATGCAAACTTAAAATGAAAATTTCTTGGGCAAATGACCTGACCTAGAAAAACGGTGCCCAGATCCGCAATCTACGACCCAAACAAGTTTACGTGTCTCAGCATTTTTTGTGTAATTTTAGCGTCCCTGTAGTGTTATTGACCTTCACCGCGGTGGAAATAAAAATAATTTGAGGTTAGATTTTTAGAAAAACTGAAGAGTGGTTTTCTAGCTGAACTAACTAAAATACATTTTTTTTCTGTGCCACCTCATGCGTGGTATTGTAATTGGCGGATACGAGGTATTGCGCGCCAAGTGACGATTTGTCGTTCGAAAGCATGGTAAGGCTGTAGGGGCCTCTCCTTTGTTTGACAATATCAAACGCGCACACCAAATACAGGAGGAGCAGCTCGGCCAAGCACTAGCAAACCTGGAAGCATCTCATGCTATTCCTACTCATGACTTTCTGCTGGTATTTTCTTCTTTTTAAAAATACGCCTGCTTCTTCCCTTTTATGCCGGTACCGCTCAATTGTCGCGCGTGTCGGATTTAATCAGGCGACCCCCAAATGCTTTTATGCCGAGGCCCCTGCCCAACTACTAATCTCACATCAAATTTGTAAGCCGTCTGCTCGCTGCAAATTTTACGCAATCATAATCAGTCCATCCCTTTCCTATAGAGGGTTTGGACAGACAGCACAGCTTTTACAATCGCAAAAACTCGCAAATAACAACTTATTAGAAAAATAAATGGAAAAATCGGGATTTAAAAGCTAAAATAATAATAATAGATTGGCTAGTGTTTGGCCGAGCTTTTCCTCCGATTTGTGGCGTGCGCCTTGTTGATGATAACACACTCATCGAACATACACGAAGGGACCCACAGGTTTACGTCGACTGCGAAAAGCGAAAGTATTTTTTTTTTTATGAGAATCAGTTTTTCACTGCAAAATACACTCGGAAGTTTGCCATTGCCTACCAGGAGGCGACCGCTATTAACATAAATACACTTGATAAACTATTGAAAAATACTATTTGTCCTATACGCAAAATCGCCAGGTGCTTTATTTCAAATGCAGGCCAAAGTAGCCATAAACCTAATGTAAAACCTCTTAATTTTATCAAAAAAGATAAGTTTATGCAAATGTATGTATTATTGCACATATCCAAAATATGGTTAATCATTCAGAGCCCGATATTATAAGTAATCCGTTAATATACCATATCTTACATTCATCACAGTTTCCTTGTAAGGCGGATCGCGACAAATGGTAACAGCCGGCATTTCCATGGTGTCGTTCAAATTATAATACGAATGAGTTGATATCGGTGGGTCGTACAGTTTGGAAAAGCACTCGGTCAACTACACAAAATACAAAGGATATACAATTATTACCATAGCCGAGCACGCATTAATTTTGCTTTCATTAAACTACGAGTATTCACTAAATTTACACATATTTTGCAATAATATTTATTTCGCATATGCAAACATTTGACACTTTAAATTAAGCGATTTTCGATACCTGCACAATGACAATAATCGAGCACACAAACAATACTATATAACGTATTATTTTGCCAGGATCTCTCAATATCCAGGCCCAAAGCTCTCTCCAATAGCCCATAGTTGAGTGTTGAGGGCACTGGTGACGTCCGTTCTTCTCGTAATATGCGCCTATCAGTATGCACCGCTGAATTCAAACTGAAAGCACGCGCCGAGCACTGACTCTTGTTGACGCTTGTTTACACACGACGCCGAGCATCTTGACTGGGTTCCCACGACAAGTCACATTTGTCAATAGATAAAGTCTTATGATTTATTATCCATGTCGGTGGGACATTTGCGATTTGCTTATTCCGTAACGCTTGTCGCACTTTGATTGTACTATACTGTATCTACCCTGTGGGGAAAATCTCCAGTTCTGAACTGTTACGCTTCTAGTACATTTAGACCCAGTACTGGTTCGCGTTAAATCTCTTTTGCATGCAAGCAACTGGCGAATTTAACACGGCGATGTCCTAGGAAGTGTCAATTGCCCCCCACTGCATCCCTTTTTCTATAGTTCCGAACTAGTCCTAAATTCTATAGTTCCGAACCAATTCTAAAATCGACAGACGAAAGAAAAAGTATCATGATTTTTCAATCTTTTTGGTTCTTCCGTGTGTGCGATTTTAAGTTATTTTGGAAGAAATGTGTTTTCAATTTGAAATTAAATTTGTTTCAATGATTGTAAGAAATGTACATTTACATACCTTTAGCTGGAGTTGAGTTTGCAGAGTTGCTCGCTGTTATTTCTTAGATTCTAGACGGCCCCAAGATGTTAATATGTTAACACAAAGTTTTGTTTTGTATTACCAAACTATGAAATAGCATCTACGAAGTGCAGAATGAAAGTCCATTTGAACGAAAAAGCCGCCAAGCACGTATCTATGTAAAGTAAATAAGCCCCCCGCTGCATCCCATTTTCGATAGTTTCGAATTAGTTCTAATTTCGACAGATAAGATCTAGTTCGTTCTGCGTCCCTTTTTCTATAATTCCGAACCAGTTCTAAAGTCGCCAATTTAGATATAGATTTCTAATGAAAAAAGAGAAGTAAAATAGTTGTTTTAAGAGTCCCACATTTCGCTGATTTTGAACTGGTGGGGATCTACTTACTATCGGACTGGTTCGTTTTTGGCGATAAAGATCTTGTACGGAACTAGAAATTGTATGTACCAGTCCGCGGTTTCCCTGCAGGGTAATTTGATAGACCGTAAGTAGGTGTGTATGTATGTAATCGTGTGATAAGTCTGAACATAACCGTAATTCTGTGGCAAACACAGCCAGTCAGTGAAAGTGATGTATGCATCTGGACAATGTACATATGTATGCTTGAGTGCTGCTATTTATTTGTTAGATAGCTGTTGTCAATGTGATGGCGATCAAAGTAAAATAAAATACAAATTTGCATTTATTATCGTAACTAATCTTTATTACAAACATTTGTTAGGCTATAGTAAAAAAAAAAAAAATCTCAGCGATTGCCAGGAGAGCGTATACATAGGTATATGTATGTATATCTGGGACTTTATGATGTCAGCCACTGCATCGATTATCTTACATCGTTTCTATTGCCGATGGTTTTAGTGTTTTGATGTAAAATATTTTGGACTAACTTTGTTTCGTTTTGTATGTACAGGGTGATGCTGATTTTCATTAAAAATAGAAAACAGAAAAATACCATACTTTTTATTAATATATACAATTAACAACAACAACCATGCTGTCAAGTTTATATAGAAGGTTTAATAATATATTTTATTAATTATTATATTATTTATATTTTGATATTTTTAGCCATTCAACTTTTTTTCGTGCAACCCTGAGTTGAGTTAAACGCAAAGTTAAACAATGCAAATTCTGCTTAAAATACAAAAAACGTGGTACAAAGCTCAATAATACTATTGGAAAGAAAATAAAATAAAATTTGTTGAAATAACTTTTTTCATTTCATAATGTTTTTTATAGCACTTACATATGTAAGAAACTCAATGTGCCGTATGAATAAAAAAGAAGCAATTGCTTCTTCTTAAAATTTCAGATCTTTTACTTAAATTTATTTGAATATATCGAGGAAAGGTCTGAAATTTTACGAAAAAGCAATTGCTTATTTTTTTATTCATACAGCTCGGGCTAATTGGCGTAAATCATACTTTTCAAGTAGCCTGAGAGGAAGAAGGCGAATAGTGTTAATCCCAGGTCTGTAAACCGCAGTCTAGCAAAATCTTGGCAGTTTAAAAGGAAGTGCTGAGATGATTCCACCTCGTCGTTTTCCATGTAGCTGACATAATGGGGCCCCGGTGATCGGACATTGTCTTGTCAATTCATTCACCCAACTGAATTGAACCATTCAGTTTCCTGCGATATCACTATTTGCCTGACACCCGTATAAGTCTGACAAGGTAAAACTCGGCTTTGTCTGTTATATGAGTTCTCTTCTTAATCTTAATCTTAATCTAAATCTAAATCCAAATCTTTAGCTTAATCTTAATCCTAACCTTAATCTTAATCTCAAATCTAAATCTGAATCTTAATCTTAAACTCAGTCGTAACCTTAATCGTTATATTAATTTTAACTTTAATTTTAATTTTAACCTTAAACTCGATCTTCAATTAAGCATAGCCTTAATCTTAATCTTAATTTTAATCTTAGTTTTAATCTAAATCTTAATCTTAATATTAATTTTAGTCGTAATCTTAATCGTGCCCAACCACCCCGGAATCCCCTTCTTTCTTCTGTTGCTTTTTCTTCTCATTGGAGTTTAGAATTAGACTACAATGATTGTGTTGCTTTTTCATTCAATCGATGTTTGTCCAAACTGAGCGCACAAAAGTTTCACTTCAGAAATGTATTTAGTATATACATTCACAATTAACGTATGTTATCAATGCAAAAGATCGTCAAAGCAACTGTTTTATATAAAAAAAAAATAAAACAAAATTAACAAAATTTTAAATCTTTATCCAACACTCTATGGTAATTTTTTTCAATTCATTTTCCCACACGTTTATTAAGTACTTATTTTTATATTGGCAAACAAATATTAAGTAAATTCTCAAGAGATGACGTCAAAAAACTAATTCACGTTAGGAGCTTTTCGCACACACTAACAAATTTGTACGCAAGTCCCCGCCGGAAAAAGAAAGTAAGAACGAATTAAATATGGGGCTGCCAAAGGATATGTCCACATCCTTCTGCACTACCAGCGTACTGGAATATTCACCCATTTTAAGAGAAGAAGAGCAAATATTTAATTTAATTTCGTTTTGACGCGTCTTTTATAAATCCCAATAAAAATTTGGGCTAAAGATCAATTGGTGATCCAATACATATTTCAATGTCCAGCGTTGATTTTAAAGTGTACCTCAATTGAAGAATTGGTTGGCCATTCTCTGACAAAAGAGCACATTTCTTGTATGCAAAATAATCTGATTTCTACACTTGAGAAAAGCTTGCATGTCAATTCGAATTCAAACTTTATTCAACTTTTAGTCAAACCTTCGCAAAAATTTCTTGCATTCTCGTGAAGCTATTCACGAAACCAGTCGATCACCGAGAAATATGTTTAATATTTCCGAAACTAGTTTACGATTTTCAACAGGGGGGTTTTTGAAAAAAAAAAAAAAATTACAAAAAAAAGCACATAGTACGTGCATACACATTTGAGCGCTTTTGGCCGAAACAACAGAAAAGGAGCATTGAGCATTCAGTTCGTCAAAATGAAATCTTTGTGCGTGCTAAAAATACCAGTACACATTTTCAAAATAAAAGCAACAAATACATAAGCATAAAAGCTCTGACACGCACATAACAAACATGTGTTAAAAATATGTATGTGAATTTTTTAGAGTACTAATCGTATTGAAACTAGGAACATGAAAATTAATAAAAAAAAAACATGAAATTCGTTTTAGAACCTCATACATGTATACGAATCTGCGTGTGTATATTAATATGCATGTATGTACATTAGACCCTATCAGAAAAAAGTTATTTTTGAAAGGAAATTTTTTATATTTTCCATCATACCTTCGGCATTTACACTCGGATTTTAAAGCATAATATATCGATAGTCCAAAGTACGTTGACCTCAAATAACCCGTTCAAGTACTTATCTATCAAATCCTTCTTCCCTGATGTCAATTAATGAAAGCTCTCCAAAAATCGTAAGTCGACACCGAAAGTTTTGAGTTTAATTTTTAATATGGTAGACATTTTAAAAAGATGAAATCATATTTGGCAAAGATATGACGTTTCATTCATTCAACCGAAATTTTTAACTACTCCTATTGAGTGAATCAGATTATCAATTTTGAGAATTGCAAAGCACACTCTCATAGCTTAATTGCACTGCGAAAAAAATCTACCAAAAATTGGTTAATATTACCAAATTCAAACTTGGGAAGGAATCGAAGTGATTTTGTTTTTTATTTTTTTTAACAGTGATCTGGTAGTATTAACCACACTTTTGTTTACATTAAACAATTTTTTGGTTGCCGATTTTTTAGTTTGGATACGCTTATGTTCTGCACTTCAACGATGCCTTTTACGTGTTGCCTCTGATGAAAATTGAAGCCTTCTGAAAGTTAGCAAATAACAGCAAGCATCTCTGCACATTCGAACCTGAACCTGCTGGAAGCAAACAATAAACAGCAAGCATCTCTGCTCGTTTAACTACAGCCAGTCATGGAAATGTGTTTTCAAATGTTCAACTTGAATCATTTCCTACAATCGATGAATTTACCATGAAAAAATCAAACAATAGCTTGGTGGAAAAAACCATTGTACGTTTGGCTCAGTGTGAGAATGGAAAAAACTAGATTAGTTATGTCTACGGCTCGGAATCTCATCCAAATGCATGTTTTCATTGGGCATCTTCAAATAAAAAATGGTTAAGTTATCTTTACAAATCTTGCAATTTATTTTAAAATGGCTTCAATCGTTAGTGCTTATTATTACAACGCATTTATCAACTTGTAATGTTGTGTGTCCAGAAATATCATTTTATAATTTTTAGTCCATTTATAAAAGCGTGGTAGTGGAAAATCTTTCGAAAAAAATTACCTATAATTTTTCGCAAATA